ACTTTATATCTGAAATCTAAATGAATATATTACAATAAAATTCCCTGATGATTTTGTTATTTACAGCTGATAACGGATGCACGTCGTCTTTACATTGTGACAATTCTGAGGAAATTTATAGAATTTTAAAGCTACAGATAGACTAATATATCCAATTACATATATTTACTCAATTAACAGTTCGGCAGTGAAATCTGAATTTTTCTTGAATGTACTGTTTTTCTTCTTGGACTTTATGAGCGATAAAAGATATAGAAATAATTAACGATGACTGTATGTAAGCAAATGTTCATAATATCACTTCTGCAAAATCGTAAATTTTATCTCGTTAAAGACCCTAAAAACTAAAATCCAATGAAAAATGGTTAAATTACTAAAATTGCCTTTTTATTGTAATAAATACCAAACTGACAAAACTCAGTCGAAACAAATGTAATGGAATTTGTTTTAGCAATTTCAGAATTCCGTGATGTGATGGATTTCCTCTAGTGACATGTTACGTAATAAATACAACCAATTAAAGAGATTAAATCCCTAAACTGGGTAAAATTTGTGTCATAATGTATATTAGAAAAATAATGTTCAGTAACTGTAACTGGTGATCTTTGGTGATAATGTGACTTTATCACATCGCTGGAAAATTTAACGTTTCACACAAAATAAAATTCTGTTTCTTAAGATTCCACTCCTAATTTTTTAATAATTCATTTGTTTAAACTACTTTGGAACTAAGGACAGCCTTGTCTATACGAATCGAGACTGGTGACAAGTCCATACAAAAGGGGAGAAGACAGCCATACTAGTTTCAAAGTCGAACATTAATTTTATCTCTGATTACTCCTCTGATGTTATTACTTCAGTCACTGTAAACATTAATAGCACTCCACTTGGCATAATCTGCACCTACGGTCAAGAGAAGAGAAAGTACACACTTATTCAAATTACAGGAAATTTTAACTTTGTATACAACCTATTGGATTTTGGATTTAAATGTAAATAATTCTTATGGGGGGCAGACGACGCCAGAGGCGTATTAGTAGATGGTTTTATTTTATACAACTATATTTTATTTTTAATGATTTAAATTAAAAACCTACTTTTGCTGCCCGGGGGGGATATAGCAATTTAGTTCTCGGATCCTTCAATATGAACTATAATGACTATAACTTAAAAATATTAGAAGACGAGTCTCTCATCAAGCACAAATACTTCATTTTAGAGACAAATTAAATAACAATTCAAATACATGAATGCTCTACGATAAGAAGAAACAATACTCGAATAAGAAGATTTTGTAGAGATCTAACAGGTGTAATGGAAAAATTACAAAACATACTTAAAAACATAAGGACGGGGTGAATTGATCATATAATTTGAAGAACTAACTCGCAGAGTGAAGAGGAGATTAAAAAAAAAACAGAAAACAATACAATACTCTTTCATGGCGTTCTCCCGACCCTTTAAAAAGTAAGCGGAGGGTCTGGGCTTCACGAAAAATCGTCCGAAGTGAATGGAATAGACGAATCGAGCAGTATGAAAAGAAATGTTGCCTATAAGAGGGAGCTAGCTCAATATAAAAATGATTAAAAATGTTGAATACAACAATAAAATAGAATACTTTATAAAAACTACTATGATGATTATACCACTATGGTGGTATGTTTTAAGACAGCAACATCCAAGAAAAGACAAGATGTAATTTTGAGTAAACTTGAGGGCAATCGGCGAACAGATCTGGAGGAAATCAAGAGAAATATCATTTAAACACTTTAAATGTGGGCACCGGTCAGATTTCTAATTTTACCTAAATTTTTGAAAGAATACATGAATGTGAAGAAAACGTGGAAAATGTTTCGGCGGAAGAGATTAAAGCGGTCGTTCTTCAAATGCGTGCAGGGGGCTCCCTCGAGCTGGATGAACTATACATTGAACATACAAGAATTTTATATGAAAATTATTCAAGTTGTTTTTAATTTATTGTATAATATGTGTTTTAAATAGTGTCTTTTCTCCAGATCCTGAACAATTTCTAAATTATTGATAAACTGGATTTAAATAGACTAGAGTTTTGTTGAAAGTTAAAAATGATCGTCAATATGGTTTCACGCCTGGGCGCAGTACTGAAAATATAATTTATGATATCATTAATTACATATGAAACAATCGAAAACAAGAACACGGGTTCACAGTCTCGTTCGGCGAGAGTGGTGCTTTTGACTCCATACTCTGGCCCTGCCTCCTTCATAAACTCATGGATCTGGGAATTTAAAAAAAGACCTTAATATTATAAAGGATAATTTTACTCAGAACACCAAACATTTTACGATTTTGGAGGCAAAGGGAAGATATTACGATGAAAACTTACAAGGGGTACTTACAGGCCTAGAGTAGTTCTCCACTGTATTAGCACTTCATTGCAAATAACTTGTGGGAAATGGATTCAAACGAAATTAACGTGGCATAGGCAAACGTGTTTTCCCTATGGCGATGATCTCCTCGTGCTCATTAAAAGGAAATCCTCGGAAACTGTAGAAATGTTTTTATGGAACTCGAAAGAATTCTTGGAGAACTGGGAGACCAAAGAAGACTTAAAATTTAATACAAATAAAAATAATGCAATTTTTACCCTCGAGGTGGTCATAATACAAGAAATACGTAGCTAAGAAAAACAGCAAAAGAATAAGCTTCAAGAAAGAAATGAAATATTTAGGTGTTATAATCGACAACCGTCTCAATATAGAAAGATTGAGAGAATTTTGACTAACTATAGAAGGATGGTTTCATGAGACGTGTTATAAATTAGACATACCACCTTGAGGGTTATATATGAAGCTTTCTTCATTCCAACAATTAAGTGGGGCACAGAAGCATAGAGTTCCGGCTCGGAAAAATACGCTAAGGAATGAAATCGGGTACTATGCAGAAAGCCTTACTTTTGATGTTAACCAGATGCTTCGTAGCCGTCTCGACGGAGGTAATATGCATCCTGGCCAGTGTGCTCCCTCCATCAGAAGAATATTTATTTATTACGATAAATTGTTATTCAGAACGGGCAGAGTGTATTTTAAAATATACGGTGGAAATATTGTTACACGCTGTGATTTTCAAAGATTTGATATTAATAAAGTACACCCTGCACAGAGGAAATCTATTGCGCATTATAGGAATCCTCCCTAGGTAGATGAATATGATGTCTACACTGATGAGTCCGGATGTGAGGAAGAACATCGTCTTTGCAATTTTTTTTTATTATGCAGCCGAGATGGACAGTGGGAAATATTAGTTAAATGAATATAATTCGATAATTTAAGCAGATGCTACTGATATTTCTTCGCTTTAAAGTGGATAAAAAGATTTCTAAAATTCGCGAGTATAATCAATACATACACCGACATTTTATCAACTTTAAAAGCACACTCCTGTCTAGGCCAGACAAATGAACTGATATTACTATATATAAAAGAATTTTATTCTGAACCTCTGGAGAGACATGTAATTAATTTTAACTGAGTAAAAGCACATGCGGATTTTGTTGGGAATGACAGCGCAGGAGCTTTAGTCACAGACGCTGTTACACAGAATGACATTGAAATCATTCAGCTACAGGGGTCGAAGAAGAAGGTCACGACCTTCATGAAGAATTATACCTACAAATTATTGAAAGAAAAATAGGAAATGTCCGATAGAAATGGAAACTGTACTGCGTACTTTAAAGGATTTAATCATCAAAACTCTGTGACCGCTGAGCGGTAAAATAGCTGAACACTGGCAGTTCCGATCTGCGTTCGATTTCAGGGAACGGGACTGGCTGTATGGGCGTTTTCGTGGATTTCCCTATGCGTAACGTATATAAGTATCAGTTTCTCTTAGAACGTCCTCCACGAAGGCATTCCTTCCCTTAGGCAGATCAACTGTGGAAATTCTACTTTAGTGTGTGTGCTATGTTTGTACCTATGGGACAGCCTAATTAAACCACAAGGCTACATGTGGCCTTGATGTGCTGCTTCCCACATATACACAAACCGCTCTATAATTTTATAAAATATACTTCAGTGTAAATTATAATTTTATTTTTATTAATTGATTAATATTAGTCAAAAATATATTTTGAGAATTTTGCTATGTGTTGCATTCCAATAATGAAATTTGGAATTCTGGAACATTTTTAATGACTTAAATATACAAATATTTTTGGATCCTTAAAATATATGTTTGACTTCTGTATACATTAGAAATTATTAAATAACACAATATGGTATCATTTTCAAAAGCTACCTTGTAAATTTTCATATATCTCAGAATAGATTCGCAGAAGATGCATGGCTGCAGATTGTTCAACTCAAAAGAAATCTGCAATAGCTTGTATTTAAATATAATTTGTCAACCTGTGACTTAAACAAAGCTTTAGTTTTTGTTTAAGTCACAGGTTGACAAATTATATAATTAAACTTTCTACTAGATAATAAAATTATAATAATGAAATATTTATTATATATAATAAACTTTCTACTAGATAATAAAATTAAATAATGAAAATTATTATAATTAAACTTTCTACTAGATAATAAAATTATTGTGCAGTTCGACAATTTTATGAAAGCCTACAAAGTTATAAAACGTCATCTTATTGTTATTCTAATTTGCATTGTCTTATGTATAACAAACATCTTACGTTTTATTCCTTAACACGAAAACATATTTCTCTGAATTTAGTTTATTCTGTTTTAAAACTTACTTTTTTTAATACCCTAATGCATAATGTTTAGAAAAGCGAAAGTAAGGCAAGAAAGAACTGTTAAACTTTCCAAGGCAGAGGGTTTGATTTTTTTAAAAATTTATTACGCTTGCATATTCTTAAAAGATAGTTTTTCTACTTCTCTAGTTTGATTAGAAGTCTTCTTATTTATAACTAATGTTTGTTGTTTTTTTTTTGTGCAGAAACGCAATCTGAGTATTAACAAGTCTTTAAAAAAGAGACATTAACAGAAAACAATGCAATCTTTTTCAAAATAATTTATGACATGTATAGAGAAAAACATATTATTTTAATGTCATCGCTGAATAAAAAACAATAGTGCAGTAACAAAAGCAGCAATGATAATGAATAGTTGATACACAATAGAATCCTTTGAAAGCACACTGTCTCCATTGTTTTGATTGAAAATGCATGCATTGGAGCCGTGAGTAAATAGAGCACAGTGTTCGTTTATGAGCGACCCAGACATTCTTTCTAATTGGCTCTGGAAGAACTGATCGGCATGATGACCGCAATCTCTCAATAAGTGCTCGTGTTGGCACTCCACGAGTTCAGTAAAAGCACTGAAATAAAATAAAAAGTGATATTAATATATGTATAAACTATAAGTAATCTAAGAAGAAGAGAAATCAATACACATTATTTTAAGCAATTAACTCGAGTGAAAAATCTTCAAGGAAACAAAAACTGAACATGACACTAAATTGTAGCAATAAGGAATAGAAGTTGACATAGAAAACGCATTATAAAAATTGGCATTGCTGAAAAAATGGCTTGTAGCATGAAAATTAGTTACATTACTGCTTCAAATATTTTTTTAATACATTCATATTCAGTTTTTAACATAAGCATGAAACCAGTTTTTTCTCAGCTATAAATTTATACGCTTGCTATTCAACACACAGGACGTGTTTCAAGAAATATATCAGGTTGATTTTTAATTATAATGGCTTATATCAATCTTTTGATTGCTAAATCAGTTTAATGAATTCCTGCAGAAAGCATTCATTCATGATAAAGTTGATGGATCATTCTCTACAGAATGTAAAATTATCTCAAAACAAAATACGTTTCCAATAAAATTATTTAACAATTTGAACTTTCCAGTTTTAGAACTAGTAGAATCATTAGGTTATATCGATGCACAAAAAATGAAAAATGTACAATGCTCGGACATGCTTCCAGTTACATAGCACGTTGAAAGGAGGAAGAAAGTACGTCATAAAATCCTTCTCTTAAAGGGCAACTGGGGTTCAGAGGACCCATTCGGCAAACCCTGATGGAGACGACTTATCCCCCCCCACCTTTTAGTTCGGGCGCCACTTGTGGAGTCTTTCAAGAATTTTTCGATGTTAGGAAACTGAAGAAATCCGCAGTGCCGCCCTGGGTTTCAAACTCCGGACCTCCCGATTAAGAGTCGGAATGTTTTAAGTTTCAGCACGCAAGCACGCTGAAGGGACGGAGAAAATGCCTTGTGTATATCTGATGGGTATTATGAGTACAATTCGTTTTGAATACTTTGATATTTTTGGGGTACATTTATGATGTTTTTTGAGAGCTTATATTTTTATGAAAAATATGCGTGTCCGTGAAAATGTTAAAGTTATCCGTGATAATGAGAGCCAGATATTGAAATGAATATGAATGTGAGGAAAATTATTATAATTAAACTTTCTACTAGATAATAAAATTATTGTGCAGTTCGACAATTTTATGAAAGCCTAACTTACAAAGTTATAAAACGTCATCTTATTGTTACCAAAGAGCTGAATCTCTGATCTTTTAAATTGTGTAAAATTTAAATTATAGTTTATGCAAAATTAAAGTTGGATGCTTTAAAGTTATATATTTATTTAGAGATATTTTATTTGGATTAATTGCTATATCTTTGGCGATAGTTCTGTAAAAGGCACTGAAATATTTGATATAGAGAGGAAAAGGTAGCTGTTTATATATTTAATTTAATATAGTTTACTGGGTGATGCATAAAATGTCATATACCAAAAGCAGTTTACACATTTTTCACATGCAAAATATTACACAAACGTCAGTGCCAAATTACTCATTGAAAAATACACATAGGAATGTGACTCGCTAGCTTCAGCGCAGCACATGTTCAGTATGTGAAACTTTCTGGCACATAAACTCATCGAGACGGACTTTTAGGTTTATGATAACTTTTTAACAGGAATCCTTTGTTAGTACCCTGAAGATAGTCACAGTGGCCCTGTCTAGTTGTTATTTACTGTTATCACCACAACAAGAAGCCAGAAGAATTAATATCGAGGCTTGTAAGAGCATTACTAAAGCGCCAGATACTGGCTGCTGACAGAACAAAACAAGGAGGAAAAACATCTGCTTCTATTCAGGGCAAAAATATTGCAAATAGTGCATAATTTATTTTATTCTTTGCAGAAATAAAATAAATATAAATAATTTATTTCACCAATTTGCAAATCTAAAATCAGAGTGTAAATAAAGAGATGCACAGCTGTATTCTTAGAATATGCCTTCGAAAGAATAATAAAAGTGTTGTAATTATCTTGAACTGTATTTTGTACATACTGAAAGACACCGAACGTCCTAGAAAGCCAGAGTTTGAAATTCCTACAGGTGGTTGAATGAAGATGAAAATCACTTCATAACAGTACATCGTTTTTGGACAATCAATACTACTTTGCTTTATAAAAGTGAAAATGTCTCTGATATAATTTTGAATTTTTATGAATTCTTTATCAATTAAATTTAAAGAAAATCTGAATTAAAAGAAAGGTTGGTAATCAAATAGAAGAAAAGCTATTATAATATTTACATAATCTGTCATCAAATACTGATATTTCTATAAGATATATAGCGAATATTTTTCAGTTTGAAAATATTCTCATAGCTAGATCTTGCATCCGTAATACGACATCCTTAATTTGGAATAATCGCTGTGGCAATTTGAGGTCATAAAAATACGTATTTTATGCTTCTTAACTTCGAATGAATATTTTATTCTCATCCAATAATTTACGAGCTCAATTTTCATTGCTTGCGAAAATAAATTACACTCAAATACATTAATGATGAGTTTTCTTTTTCTTTCCTTTCTTCCAGCTTTTTATCTGCATTTAAAAAAGAGCTATTTAACTAAATATTCGAATGAATGAATCATCTCAGAAAACTGTTCTTGCCCATCCCATTTTTTTAAGAACAACCCATGTAAAAGCATAATGGCATATCTAATTGCAGCGTTTGAGTTTTGTTTTATCATATATAATGCATAGATTTTGTCTAGCAGCAGCTTGATTAAAATGTCCCTTCAGAAATTCTTTATTCAATGATTTTCCTTTAAAATCAAATCAGATATGTGCATATAAATATGTATTTTAATTACTTCACTACGCAATACTCTACTCTGTAAAAGAAAATATTTGTTTCATTGCAAATGCAATACCTATCTATGATTATACTAATGAAACTGATAAAACGTGAATTTCAATAATCATCTTAAAATGATCAGAAAATGAAAAAGATACTGTTATAGTAACAAATATTTAAATTACTCAATCAAAGACCTCGATATTCTCGATTATTATTTTATCGCGCTTGATGATGTAAATTCTAAATTCCAAGGTATTTAATAAATTCAGAGGGAAAAAGCAAAATGAAAATTGATTGTAACTTCATCATGCTTCTATTTATTATAAGCGACAATAAGGAATATATTGAAAATCTGTGTTTTCTGGATATGAATTCACTAACAACAGTAACCTTATAAGGTATTTCTCCCACCTTCCTAGCGTGCCTTCGTGGTGTAGTGGTCAGCACACTGAACTGAACCGGTATTTCAGAGGTCCGTGTTTCGATTCCCGGCGAAGGAGGAATCGTTTTGAATCAAGCTGTGAAAATTGTTAATTTTATCAAAAGCCGAGCTTTAAACTCAAGAATATTTGCGATTTTATGCCAAGAGATGGGTAGTGAACATAAAACGCTTTTTTTATATTTCGAAGTAAGGTGGATATCCAGAGCAAAATTTTAAATCGTCTTTTTGAACTTCGATCAGATATTCAAATCTTCCTCTGTGATTCAAAATTTGAATTGCAAAAATATTTATTTAGTGAATTACGTTTGACGAGTTTAGCATATTTAGCTGATATTTTTGAAAAGTTAAATTAATTAAATTTAGGATCACAAAGACAAAGTGTTTATTTGTTTACCATTAAAAAAATTCGAGCTAATAATCAAAGAGTTTAAGCTTTTTACCATTTTTAGAAAGTTTTCTAAGAATTAACCCTCTGATATTAAAAATCATTGTTTTTTGATTGATAAATAATTTCAGCATGAAAACGAAACTTTGATTAGATATCCATTTTGTTCATCTGTACCTGAAATTTTATCTCGTGAAGAAAAACGACAATTGATAGAAATTTCCTGTGATCGAACTCGAAATGAAGCTTTAAAAAATACTTGTTAGCTTTGGGCTGAACCAAAAAAAAAAAAAAAAAAAAAAAAAAAAAAAATTAAAGTCATTTCAAACAAAGCTATTAAATTTTTATTGCCTTTTTGCACAGCATATTAGTGTGAATAACGATTTTCTACCATGTTATATTTGAAAAATAAGTACAAAACAGAATTAAAAGTGGATCTTAATTTACAGTTAAAACTAAGTGAAATAAGTCCAAACATAAAAAATAGATCTCGCTTAAACTGGCCTAAATTTTGCACTAAATTTTAGAATAAAAGAACACTTACTTTAAAAACTTAAATTTTGATAAATAAAACGGTAACCAGTTTTTAATATATTTTTATGTGCGCATATTTAATACAATAGAAAATAGGTTGCGCAAATGACATAATATAAAAAGATTTAAATATTTCTATCGAGAAATTGAAAGATGATCATTTTAAAATGTAGTGGTCATCAGTCGGTCCAGTAGAACAGGAGATAGAGAACAGACATAAATTTTGCAACAAAATAATTTTTAACAAAAATTATAAGCAAAATAATTTTTAGCATAAATAACAAATAATAATAAAATTGTAAAGTTTAACAAAACAAACAAAAAAATAATAATAACAAAGATTGTAAGAAATAACAAAATAATAATAACAAAGATTGAAAGAAATAACAAAATAATAATAACAAAGATTGTAAGAAATAACAAAATTATAAAAATTGTAAGAAATAACAAAATAAAAATTGTAAGAAATAACAAAATAACAAAAATTGTAAGAAACAACAAAATAACAAAAATTGTAAAGTTTTTCAATTTTTGCTTAGATGGCTTAGCATTATTGCTGCTGAAAATTACTAAGATTTACTGCTGCCGTTCTAAACAGGATTCATGTTTTAAGGGTAGAGGACTAATGTATAATCAGCAGCGTAGAGCTAAAGGAGGAAAGAAGCTAACTAACTTGATAGCACCTGTAGTTTGCCAGAAAATATTGGGTCATCCAAAAATTTCTGCAGTTTTTTTTCAATAAAAGCACAGTTTCTTCTTATTATTTTGTTACTGCTAATAAGCTTTGAAGCCGCTTTGATCTTGGATGAAGCGTATGTTTAAAAATTGATTTTTTTCTGCTCATGTTGCTTAGTTCTTGCGTATATTATTGAGTAATTTTTCCCAATGTGGAGCTAAAAATGAAGAACCCATGAACATTTTTTTATCATGTTATGCTCTTTTATTTCAAAAAAGGAAAGAAAAGTGCTAGTCAAACTGGTTGCAAATTTTGTGCTACATATAGACAAAGTGCCGTTTCTAATGACGCAGTTTTAAGGCGATTTGAGAAATTTAAGAGAGGAAATTTCAATTTCGAAGATGATATCCATTCTTGATGACCATCCAGTGTAAACAAGCGTCTGTTAGAAGGAGTTTTCCCTCAAAATTCAGCAAAAATGCAGTTCACTACTTAAAATCATTACACCGTAATAGGTATTGTCTCCTGGATGTTCTTATTATAATTCACAAAGTTTTGGTAAACATAGCAAATGATTTCACATACAGTACGAGACACAAGAGAAATTCGAAAGACAGTTAATAGAATGCCTAGAATTTTAGAAAAAAATAGGAAAATTTAGTAGAATTTTGGACTTTAATATTTACCATATATACACTTATCAGATCAGAAATAATAAAAAAGAAAATCTGTGCCATGTTAATTAAAGAGCTGTTTCAAATATCAAATTTGCTGATTATATTACCTCAATATTCAATGTATATTTAGAGTGAAAATTCTAATGAACTGTAGCTGTAAATTTTAGGCCGATTTCATATTTGAAGAAAGCAATTTTGCGATTCTTATAAGAACTACAATGTTTAATTTTTAAAACACATTACTAACCAGCAGTGCTTCTTTAGCTTATCGTTTACGTTAATTTCTTGGTCCCCAGTTTCCTCTCTGTGGTTGTTAATTAGCCTTCTGTATTGATTCGCACACTTTCTCTCATCTGTTGATACATTTTTCATGCAAGGTGCATATTTCAGATAATCTGGAAAAAATAATTTTAAATTATTAAATACATAAATGTGGCTGGATTAAATACATTACAAAACATCAAATTTGATATCGCTAATCGATTATACGCCCACCAGCGACCGAGCGGTAAAAGCCGCGGAACACTGGTAGTTCGGCCCGGGGTTTGAGTCCCGGGGAACGAGCTGTCTGCATGGGCGTTTTCGTAGTTATCCCCATGTGTAACGTGGATACGGGCCAGTTTCCCTTAAGCAGACTTCCACGGGGCATCCCTCTCTTTCCGTGTAGTGCCTAAGGGCAAGCATGTAAAAAGTTATAAAAAAAAAAAAAAAAAAAAAAAAAACATTAAACATAAATTATATGCTTATTTAAAATCACAGATACTGAAAAAGAAATTCATCTTAAAATTATTTAAAATAAAGAAAATTAGTCATTTTTTTTCCTAGAAACTGACAATTCTCGCTTAACGCTTCGAAACAGGAATAAAAAATGTAAGTATATATGTACCCTACGTAAAAAAAAAAAAAAAAAAAAAAAAAAAAAAAAAAGGGGGACAGTTTTATATCTCCTGTTCTACTGGGCCAATTGACGATTCAAACTGCGTTTTTATGTCCCGGAAGAGCGAATTAGGATATGCATTAGATTTATATATAGCATTGTTCTAATATAGGTATTTTGAAGCAAAATTTGGACATTCTCTGAAGTTACATGCCATTTGTTTTCCATATTTCGATTCTACACGACTCAAATCATGCCTAAATATTAAATTTTGTAAAATTTGGTTGCGAAATTTACGGAGAAATTTAAAAATTTATCTTGACGCATTTTTTTTTTTTTAAGTGTGCACTACCTGGCGAACTTCTTAATGTATAGTCATATATTTTACTTTTCCTTTTTTCACTGTGCACGAGCGTAAAAAAAAGGCATGGTTAATCATTTCAAATAAATTTAACAAAGTGAGTAAAGTATATTTGACTTATCGCTTATAATAAATATGCCAAATTTCAAAATGGGCCAATATATAAAATGACATATATCTTAGTGTGTGTGTGATTATGGCAAAGCCTCGAGGGCTATCTGCCTAAGAGGAGGGATGCCTTCGTGGAGGACTTTCTAAGGGAAACTGGCTCGTATACACGACATATATCTTAGAAAATCTTGAATAAAGCTCTCTAATTAGCGCTCTTCTTAGCGCTTACCAGACAGCAATCCCACTCATTCCTTTCAGAATGAGACAGCGAATGTTGAGTAAGTAGTTCTTTGATTCAGTGTTGATTTGTATTGTTTTACACAAGAGAATCTAACGTTGCTGCGATCCTTAGGGAAATATCAATGCTTTATTAACTGCATAACGGTCCAATATATGTTGTAGAAAAGACAGGTATGATTAAAAAATTCTAGGAATCTGGATCCCTAGGAGTTAGAATTGGAAAAGGACAAAACGTAGTATCTAACGATACATGTCAATGCAGTGTTCGATCACTCACTAGTAATGATCCAAGTGCTCGTGAAATAGCTCGCGAAACGTATGTACCTTATGCTACTGTCAGAAAATTCTTAGCACTGCATTTCTGTCTCTATAAATATCAATCATGTGAAAGAATTAAAAACGACATGTTATGATAAGCGCCTCGCTTTTGTACTAACATTTCTCGCCCGAATGGAAGTCAACAGTTACTGGCCATGGAAAATATTGTATGGAAATGAGGCTCATTTTTAACTCAATAGTTTCATCAATACATGCTGAATTTGAATATTTGAATGGCCCACAGTAATCCATCAATTGCCACTGTATTTTGCAAGCGTAACCGTGTGGTGTGGACTCATAGTCAGTTTCATGATAGAATTATATTTTATTTGAGAACATCACTGCTATAGCTCCTGTTACCTGAACCATTACTGGTGAGAAATATCGGCAAATGCTGCAAACGTTTGCTGTTCCTGATTTTCAATAAAGACAGTTCTTTGATTCGACAACTTTTATATAGTTTGGAGCATTATCGCATATTCTTCGTTCAGTACAGGAAACTCTACTTCACCTTTTCGGTAATGAAAAAGTTATCAGCCAATATTTTATAACGGAATGGCCGCCGGCCATTGCACAGTGTGACTTTTAGATGTGTGGTTACTTTAAATCCGTTGTGGTGGCATTACAAACCTGTGTTCCTTGAAAGAGAATATAAGATGGGCTGCTGCATGCATCCAAAGTGACAGTTTACACTCAGCATTAGAGAACATTTTTCATCGGATGCAATATCTTATACACAGGGAAGATCACAAATGTTGCACGTGGCTCAGGATTGATTAATAAAAGTTTAGTTTTTGTGTATTTCGTACTGTATGCCTTTCATTTTTGTATTCACCTTTTTTATTACTGAACGATTAATGAAATTTTGCATATTTAATTTTTTCGAGCATTCATTGTAATTATTGACCCGTTTTCGATCCTGAAAGTCTGTATATGAAATTTGGTTGGTTTTAGTTTATTTAATTACGGCAAAGCCCTGGAGGGATTTCTGTCTAAGGGAATGAATATCTTAATGGAGTATTTTGTAAGAGAGACTAGCTTGTATACACGTTTACACATGGCGGAAACCATGAAAAGGACCATAAAGCCAGCCCGTTAGCCGGGATTCGAACCCCGGACCGAAGTACCAGTGTTCAGCGACTTTACTACTCTGCCGCTAGTGGAGTATTAAATTTGGTTTCATTCAGTTTTTATTTTTAGCTGTAGATGCCTTCAAACCGAGAAAGGTATTTCATAACCACTCTGCACTTATTTATCTAAAAATATAATACAGCTTTGGAGATTTTTAGGGAACAACTAGTGTTTTAATCATGAACAAAATTTATCATCCGTTTCATTTCAAATCAAATGGCTCGGTATTTCGAAATATTAGGTTAGTTATCCTTAATGGAAATGGTTATTATTTGTTTCTCGAAAGACATTGTTCTCGTTCATTTGAAATTAACGCCATATAATGTATCAATTTTGAAAACGCCTTAAAATCTAGCTGACATCATAGCCTTTTTATAGAAATTCCAATGACTTTATACATTTCTCGGTGTTCAGCCAAAAGTTATTTAAAATTGACACTATTTTTACAGAAATTCCTTATTTTTATATTAGAGAAATTTGCTAATTCCAACTGATTGAGATTAGGTAAAAATTTTTTTCCTGTTTAGTAACTGAAGATTTTGTTGATATTAGCGATCTTTAATTTACAACTTAATTGTAAATTAAAGATTGAATAGAAAGATTTTAAACATTTAAACTGTGAATTTCTCCTTTAGAAAATAAACTAAAATGTGAGGGAACTAATTTATTTTTTAGTTTAGGCTCAAACTTATTCTAATCTGACATATGAAGATTGTCTTTTATGAGCATGCTATATTACTTATAAGGCGGCCTTATAAGACTTAGTGTTAAATTAAATTTTGAATTTTTAGTACATTTTATACCATTGCAATAATATTATACAATAGAAATCAATATCTAGAACAATTAACAGCTATGATTTATGCATGTGCGACAATCATATCAGAGGAATACCAAAGTAAAAAATACTTCATAGAACATAAAACTTATGCTAACTCATTATTTCTGCAAGGTGATTCAATAATGTTGAGCTCGCGCAAATCCCTTTAAGGTAGTCACGTAAATTTAATGTCACGACAGAAACTTTCAACAATGAACAAACAAATGAATTATTCACGGCGAATACCTAAATAAAATTTTTATATCATCCAGTGTTGATGTTAGGGTTCCTCATAAGTTTGAGGAAATCGTTCCTGAAATAATTCTTTAACCGATTTACTCAAACAATCTTTCCTCAAACCTTTTACCATACACTATCCTTCTAAATATCAGTTATATGTTGCTTTGTTTCATATCACTTATCTAGTGCTTTGATAGGTCAGAAGCAAGGTACGTAGGAAAAAAAAAAAGATTACCTCACTTGGGGTAAACAAACGGAAGTTCGTTCTCGCTCTCTGTTGGTCACTAAGTCACTGAATTTCTCCCTCCTCAAATTAATATAGACTTTTGCATTGATTTAAGCTGACTGTAAATTTGTACGCGACTGTGAAAATCACTTTTGTATCTCAAATATTATTCAATTTATATAGCATAATCACTGGTAGCCAGTACTCAATTGCATTATGCACCAATATGGTAGGAAAAAGAAAGAAATGATCAGCAAAGCGCGTCGTTTCATAGGTATAGAAATTTATAGTGTGTATTGATTTAATGTTTAAACTAATAAGATGTTATATTAAATAGGGATAATTATGTTAAATTTTAATTAAGGGATTTAATATTTAAATAACAGGGGTGCAAGTTATTTTAAGTTTTCATATTACTTAAATTCATTGATTCTTTAATATATGTAAAAAATTCTATACATTCTGTTATGTTCATTTAAATAGGAACGGTCAAGGAACATAAACGAAAGTGAAAACTTAAGTTATAAAAAAGGGATATGTAATAAAATTAAATTACTTTGCCACATTTAAATTTAGGGAAACTTTATTTGACTATTTTAACTACTTTTTAAAATACAGAACTGTTCAAGTTATTGTACTGTTTAAGTTACTATTCAAGTTACTGTACTGTTTAAGTTAGTATATATTACAGTTTGCTAATGTAAAAGAATCTAATGAATCTAGATCGGAATCTTATTTTCATCGTATCAATCGATGTCATCGTATGATTAACAATATTCAATCAGGATTACAAGTGAGCATTTTACTTTTATAACTTTCCTTTTGAATAGATAATTATTTAAAACATAAACCATTCTGAAGAAAGGAATTCTGAAGAAAATTGCAGAAGCGATCAGACCGAAATAAGGCTCTAAGAATATAAATAAATTTAAATAGCCAAAGTAGATTCCAGACATTACGGAGAAGTTACTACGGCTTTAAATACCGGGCAGAGAGTTAGGTACAGAATAAATGGCCTTAATTTCAATTTCTTCCATTTTAACATTTAAATATTTCTATACTACATATTTT